ACCCTTTGTACTAAAAAATGTCCCCCAAGTGAAAATGATTATTTTTTATTTTTGCTTGTTTCACTGTTAGTCTAGAATGGGGTTTTTGGGAAGCCACCAGGTCTAGTTATAACATAAGTGGTTCTGCACTAATGCAAGAATTTTAAGAAATCATACATTTTGAATATTAGAGCTTCACGGAAGATAGCTTCAGGGAAGTTAGGATTTCGTATATTTTTTTTTAACATTCGTTATAAGTTATTGTATCTTTTGACATCTTAATATTTAAAAAATACAATTGTACATACATAAAATATTTAAAAAAAAATCGAATTACTGAGATTTTACACTTCACGGTGGATAGGTTTTTAAATAGCAAATTAATGAACTTAAACTTTTAAATTATAAAACAGCAACACTCTCATCTGCATATAAATTCTAACTGACCTTCAGGAATCACATGCATCTATAATGTCGTAAACAGAGGTTTTTGTTTATTTAAAATGATTAAAGCGCCATCCGTTGCATAAAATTTTAAGCAAAAACAGATTCACGGAGGATAGAATCAATTTTTGTAATACCTACATAAATGGTTATAAAAATTACTTCTTTTAATTTTTAATAATATTTTATATTTGATTGGATGTGTTTAATTTACTTACTGAACTGATATTTTTAGTATGCTTTTACTACCTATACAGATATTTGAAAACCTAGATAGAGTAACAGTCACGGAGGATAGGTTTTAGACTTTTAAAACATTGTAAAAAATAATTAATTGCGGTTAAAAATCTGGAACCTGAGCTGTAATATCTACTTAATTATGAAAGATCAAAACACAATAAAAGTGTAGGTCAAACTCATTTAGTTTTATTAAATATCACGGGGTAACACCATCACATTTCGTGAGATTCACCCATATATTATTATATTATATTATAAAATCATTAAATTTGTTGAAACATTAAAATATAAAAAATCCCACTGACATTTAAATAAGAAATGCAGTCGAATAATTAAGGTTATGTTTTTCAATATAATGTTAATTTCGTCATATTTTTTTGTGTCTAAACGTTTTAATTAGAATAGTAAATTATTTTTCTATAGTACATTAAATTTTAGGGTTGCTCATTTTGCAGCGACATCTACTCCATTCTTAAATGGAATGGACTATAGTCAAAGTAAAAACAATATTGGGAAATTTTAAAAAGCAGTGTACACATGTTTCCTGGCGGGACAGTTAAAGTATTGAAAAAGTGTGTGTCACCCTTTTTCAGGCACTTGACGTTCCGTTACAGACACTTAGAAAATCAATGGGGGAAGAAATTTAAGTCACGCGTAGCGAGTTTGTTGGTGTCTACTATTTGCTTTAAAATCAAATCGATAACGTTAAAGTAAGTACATTTGAATAATTCATGAAAAACTATTACTCTCGAGACGATAGGATTTTCTAATATTGGAAAGCTACATGGTTAAAATCGGTAAAAAGGTGCGAGGACGTTAAACTGCCGCTTTTATTTCCTGATAAATCTATAAATAAATCATATATATAGATAAATCCTTTTTCCTACTTCCACATTCTTAACTACCAGAAATAAAAAAAATAAACTAACCATTTTTATAGCCTGATCATATATTATATTTAACAATTTTATAGAACATTTTAAAGATTTAAAGTTTTGAAAAAAAAATGTTTAAAAGAAATGAAAATCACTTTGATTCAAAATATTTGCGCTTTTGAATAGGGCCAAGAGCTGTTTCTAAATCCAAATCAGAAACTATCTTTACATACATTTTTTTAAATTACTTGAGGAGAGATTTATCTATTCGTTTAAGGATATTACAATATTAGCTTAAATCAAAAGCAAGCGATTTCTTGATACAAGAACCAAAAATCTTTTCTTTTGAATGGAAAAAACGTTTTTAGCGCAAAAATGGGATTTTAACAAGAAAACTCTTAATTAAAAAACTTAGGAGCTTTCTAAGAAAGAAAATTTGTCTTGCTACAAAAGCATATACTATTGACCACATTTTGTTTTGATTTTAGAGCAAATAGTATGTATTGCTTTATTCAAAAGCTTCTGATCTTCACTTAAACTACCAGTAGTATTTAAGCTCAAAATCCCCTCACCACATAGGCCTTTTAATATTATATCACTGCCCCTAGAAAAAGGCGAAATTTTGTTGCAAGTTGCAATGATACAAAACGTACTAAACACGTATGCCGCAAACGGTGTGCGCGTTTTGCATCCCCTCCCATGTATCAGAAGCTACCAGATTTTGTTGTAAAATTGACATGCTATTGGGATAATTGTGATGTATCTTGAATGAATTGCGTAAACATAAATAATTTTCATAGCTTTTAAACAAAAACACTTTGCACTTGGTTGAAAGAAGAAACATTCAAGAGATTTTGTATTTGTTTTCAAACTTTTTTCTTTAAGCAATAAATCATAACAAGAGAGTTGACTATTTTAGTTTTTCAGTTCACATGTAAAGAAGGTTTTTAACAGTCTTTTGCTGTTTTAAAATTAAGTTTTAAAAACGTAAAACAAATAAAAAATATAAAACAAAATAACATATTTACAGGCAACTTACCGTTATTCCTATTTACGCAAAAAATCAAACTCAATAATTCCATCTCAGTAAATTTCAAAAAACTGTAAATACGCAATTCAAGCAAGGAAAACTTCGTTCGCACACGTTTAAAAATCGCGACCCAGAAAACTGAAAGCATTTGCATATAAAAAGGAAATAATATTCTTTCAGTGCAAGCTTTCAAACTGGAATAAAGCTAAGTTTAACAGACTGCATCCTCTTTGGCTAATTTGGTATTCCGTAGCGGAAGTTGAGCTTTCAAATGAAAGTACTACCGAAAAACCGGATTAAGTTGAGTAAGTTTTCAGCTGATTACCTAGGTATGTAACTAGTACATTTTAAAAATGCCACTTCAGCACCTTTTTAGAATTATTTAGTTAACTTAATTATTATGAATAAAATCCCATACTAATGAGGCAGAATGACTACTACTTTTCAGTTTAAGTGTTACTCAACTTAATTATTGGTCCTGTATTTAGTTTGTTTTTAATTTTATGCCAAAAAACACTATTTCTGTTAAAATCTAGACACGGTGGTCAAAACTAAAGTATAGGACGAACAAAAATGCCAACCAAAACTGATAGCATAATCTGATTATAGACTCTTTTGGTAACACAAAAATGTATTTATTAAAATCCCAGCTGATCCTTTATTAAAGTTTTGCATATTTCTTAGTATTTTAAAAATGTTTATGCCATTTTGATAAAATACTCTAGTACCATTATCAAATCTTTTTAAAAATTTGGCAGATACATGACTGAAATATGAATAAATTACATTATAAATACAAAATAATGTAAAATACAGTTTGCAATATCTTATTTATTGTTTTAAGGTACCTCATACAAAACTAATAAATAACTAAAGATTCTTTGAAGCAAAATCGATTACTGCTTGCCTTAAATTTTCAGAAAAACTTTTTCTTAGGTTTAACATGGAATTGTTTTTAACATGGAAACAGTATTTTTAAATTCTTCAGTCTCTGTACAAACATGCTTCTTACATCTAGCGATATCCCCTAGAAAGGAAGAGCATATCAAAACTTTAGTTCGTTCGTCCGTCCTCTTCCCTTAATAATTTTTTATGCCCTTTATATCTTGCCATTTTGCAGATAAAGCACATACATTCTTGGCTGCCGCGAAATTCTCTAGCAATTTCTAAATTTTGAAAATTTGGCAATTGTGGCTATGCAAAAATACCGTTTTTACCATATTGAAGTAGGTAATTTTGAATCACTTAAGTTCGTTTGAAAAAGTCTGCAGTAATTTTTATATTTTCTCAGAAACCCTAAACTCTGAATTTTTCGATTACCAAAAACAATTTTGTCTCCACAGCCAGCACATACCTTCTTTCGATTTTCTTCATGGCTTAACTTGAATTTCGTTTTAATTTTCATTTTAAAATACTATTTTTAACTTTAAGTATACATTAAATAAACAACTAAAGCAAAATGTCACTGCGTTATAACGTATAGCAATTTTTTTCATAACCACCTTAATTATTGTTTTAAGAAATTTGCAAGTTGTAATTATTTCATAGACAAACTTCCAGTATTTTTTGTTATAAAAAATATTTAAGATATAAATCTTCGGTTTTTTTTTGTTATGTTTTGTGTTGAGTGGTAAAAAATAATAGGTGACTCAATAAATTAATACTGGGGATTAAAGTAATTTAAAAAATACAAAGTTTATTATTTTGCTTAATTTTATTAAAATTGTACAGGTAGTTTTAGTACAATAATTGCAAAATAATATATAGAAATAGAAAAACAAAAAAGTTTGCAAAACTTTAAAATAGGATCAGCTGGGATTTTAATAAATACATGTTAGTGTTACCAAAAGGGTCTATAATCAAAATATGCTATCAGTTTTGGTTGGCATTTTTGTTCGTCCTATACTTAAGTTTTGACCACCATGTAGATAATATTCTACACAAAAAAACCGAAGAGGACGTAAACAGAAAATCCCTAAAGTTAAGTTTCCCACACAAACTCGTCCAAAACTTAAAATTGAGTTTTACTCCCACGCAAGTACAATATGAGGGTTTTTTCTTGGCAACTTCCCCAAGTTTATTTATTTATATCGGGAAGGAAGAGACGTAAAAAGCAACCTCCTTTTAGATATATAAATAAAAATAAACCTTCTGAACGTAAAGATATTTCTATGGAATTGTCGCGATATTTTTAGCTCAATGTATAAAACTGTGATTTATATGAGACGGGTTTATTTGATTGTATACACTTTATTTATTCCATTGTAAAATAAACAACAGTACTTTTAGAAACATAAAAATTAATTACTTAATAAAGATTCATTTAAAACCTGTAATTATTTACTTAAAGTTATTTTGGCGTAGAACGTTTTAATTTGATAAATTTAAGTACTTAATTAAGGGGTAGTTTAGAAATGAACAAAATAACTTACAGCATTTGTAGGCGGATCCTATGGAATCGCTGTCCATTGCATGATGATATTCGTACACTGATTTTTCAGTCAAATCATCGGCAGTATATCCCAAAACTTCCTCTAAGCTGAAAAAATATACTGTTTTGAAACAATAAAATTAAATATTGTAGTTACTTCTTGTTTCTACAATATTTTTTAGTCAGATTAACTTGTGATTTTGTTATAAATTGTAAATAAACTCTTAACAAGTAAATATTACAAGAAAAAGTAGTAACTGAGAGAGAGATATTGCAAGAGAAAAATCTAGCCAGCCTTGTTTCACTTTATATTGCCATCTTTGTCTTTTAAATTAAAAAACCTATACGGTCTTCCTAAAAATTGCGAACATAACCAATTTAGTTGACGGTTCAAACCTTTTCACTTGTTATAAAAAGTGTATTCGACATTTTCTACCTGTACTATAATGAGATTTATTATGTTAAACATTTTTTACCAATAGAAATGCAATACAAGGAAATACTTTTTTTAATTCAAAATTAGTAAACATGGGCGATAGTGAATGTAAAATTAAAAATTTAACCCCGAAATTATAACAGGTCGCAAAAGCCGCAAACAATTTACCCATAAAATCAGCAACAACGTACAAAAAATTTCAGGATTAAAGTGTTAATTTTAATTAAAGTCTTCTATTTTAATTGAAAATGAGCAAAATATGTAAAAAAACTATTTTTTTAATTCAATTTTACTTTTGTTACTTTTATTTTATTTCGTATTTACATATAAAGAATAAAAAAAATATTTTCGAAAAACCCTGTATAAATTATAAAAAATATTGTAGCCGTTTTATTTAACAATATAGTAACACATATTGTCGATATAAAAATAAGATGATTTTATGCTTTAACATTAATATGAAAATTATAATACGATTGTAAAAAATATAATTTAAAAAAATAGTTAATTTTAGAACTACTAAAAATATAAAAACATCATATAATTTACAAAAATTTAGCAAAAACCTTGTAGAGCGCGCGTGTAAATATTTAAAATATTTTTATTAATACAACAAAATAAAAAATAAACATCAATATACTCTATAATGGTAGGCAACCCAAATAACAGAGCGGCAAAATTTACGTTCATGTATTATATTTTGTTTAAATTCTAACATAAAACCAAGTTATGAATGATATTTAATTTTACAATAAAATTAATAAGCCAAGTATGTAAGTAACAACAAGTTAATTTACATTTACGAGTTTTTTATTTGTAAGGCAAACTTAAATGTTATAATTGACCTATAATTTATACCATTTATTAAAAAAAATACTTTATTATAAAAATCGACAAATTAAACCTTTTTGAAATATGTAAAGTACTAAAAATGAGTCCTTTATCAAAGATATATGGTTAGGTATATTTTTTAAAAAACAAAACATTCAAATGCATTAAACATAATTTAAACTTAAAATTGAATTGTAGTTATTTATATGCATAAGTATTCTCTCAATAAATGTATCAAATATGGAATCTATATTTTAATATGTTTTGTCTAACGTTTATCGTTTACATATATTGACGCGACAAATTTTTGTGCCAGTTTGTTATTGTTTTTTTTTAATTTTGTTTAAATATGCTTAAAAATGATATACAATATTCATAAATAGTAAAAATCCATTAATAGTTTTGCATAATTTAAAAATGTTAAAACAGTATATTCCTTTACATTTTTAACTATAAAAGGCTTCAAATATGTTTTGCCCTTCCTCTAAAAAATTAACAAACCAATTTAATTAGATTTAGTTATAATTACTATCCCACAGAAGCTGTGCATTTTTCGTAATGAAAAGTATTTTACGTCATTTCAGGACATAGAAAATGTATATACCAATTTTTAAAAAAGAATTAGGCTAAATAGCTATATTATAAGTATGAATTCAAGATCATTCATATCAATTTTTATTAAAATCCGTTAAATACTTTTAAAAATGGCGAATGCACCGGTATTAATTATAATTTTTTAACTTGTACTTATATTATAATATTCCTAAATATGCATTCTTAAATATATTTAAAATAGATTTGACCTTCTAAAATGTGTTTTACTACAAATATGCTTTTAATAATAATAATAAGTATATTTTTTCCACTTCCACCATTAAAACACACATTTGAACTTTTAAATACACATTGACAAGTTGTTGCTTTATGGCATTTTAGTCACGGGCTAAAGTTAGTTTTAAGTTAGTTGACAGTTGTCAAATGTCATAAAATTGTTTAAATAAAGTAGGCCACACCTCTTGTGAAATAATAGTAAAATGTGAAAATTATGTAAGGCGTTCTCAAAATATTAAAAAAAAACAAAAACCTTTCAAAACCAAAAATCAAATCACTTCAGTATTCCTAAAAATTTTGAAAAAAAGTAAGTTTCACATTTATCCAACTTCTTTACTACTATATTTTAAGTAACCATCACTATACATCATTGGATTCCTTGATTTTTACATCTAACTATGTAAAATGTCAATATGGCGGTCATGAAAAAAACAAGAGATGGTGGGGGTAACTTAAAATATAGTAGGAGAAATTTCCAGAATAACGATTTTTGGTTTTGACAGGTTTTGTTTTTAATAATTTGAAAATTCCTGATTTTTTTTTTTAATTTTTAAATGAAATCTTAATGTAATAATTATTAATATCTTTTTCTACTCCCACCTTTAAAACGCGTTTTTAATCACGGGCTAAAGTTAGTTGACAGTTGTCTATGGCAAGCCGTTTTAGTTTTTATTACACATGGCTATCAAGTCTCATTTTAATTCGACTTGATTTCTATGAGACATTAGATAATTGAAATTATATGTATTTTCCTTAAGGGAAATTACATTTTAATTACAAATTATAAATAAAATTCCTTTTTTAATAAGCATTGAAATTTTGGGTACATTAAATTGAAAAGATTAGATGTAGAGGATGATTTACATTCGAAATTGTCATAAAAATACTAAAACATTTCATTTTTATTTGAAATAATAATAAAAATTATTTTTATGACAAATAGTAATTTTAATGCAAATTTCGTTAAGGAAAGTAGTTTTTATTATAATTAAGAATTTAAATGCATTTTCGTTAACGGAAATGCAATTTCCCTTAAGGGAAATATCATTTCTGTTAAGAGAAATTGTATTTCCCTTAAGGGAAATAGCATTTCCGTTAAGGGAAATTGGCGCCATCTATGAGAGGACGGCTGAAGTTCAAATAATTAATTTTATCAAAATTCTATAAAATGAAATTATTGCACTGTGATTTTACAAAAGATTTATTAGTAAAAAGAATTTTTAATTTTTAATTTAAAAACCAACCATTACACCTGTTCACATCCACCCACAAAATATCACCCACCAGTGTTGCCAGATGTAAAAAGTGAAATTATCGACAAATCATCGACAAATTATTGACAAAATTATCGAATTTTCAGAAAATTGTCACAAAATTTGTATTGATAATGCTATAATAATAGTAATATTAATAATTATGGGTACTACTCGAGAAAACCAAACTCTCCGAATCGAATCGCGATGACACCGATCGACTTTGGAATCGCATCTTTCGAATCGAATGTTGTGTGGCAACGCCGCATGTGTAAGGTGTATTTTAACGTTTCTAATAAAGGTTATTAAAACGAAAAGAAGTAGTAAATAGCAAACTGTAGTAGTAATATTATTCATTATTGTTAATTGTGTCATATTTGTTGCATTCAAACAAAATGAAAGATTCTGGCATCCCAACCAAAGGCAGAACTCTGTAAGCGGTGGAACCTTCGGCATCTTCACCACAGATAGCGCCACTAATTTCTCTTAAGGGAAATGTAATTTCTGTTAAGGGAAATAGCATTTCCGTTAAGGGAAATAACATTTTCGATAAGGGAATTGTAATTTCCCTTAACGGAAATAGAAGTTTATTTTTGTTTAGTTAAAAATAAAAGTAATTCGAGCTATTTTTTGTACACATGATCATTAAGTCTCATTTTAATTCGATGTTATTTTCTGATTCTCTAAATATTGTTAGACTCTATGTATTGCGGTTCTAAATTTTATTCGGGAACAACATTTCAATGAGTATTTTAAATTAAAATGTTTTTAATTTTTATGTCATTTAGGAAAGTATAAAACTATATCCTTAAGGAAAAATGCATTTATATTCGTAATAGTAATTTTAATTCGTTTTATTTTAATACTTAGCCTAGTCTAACATAAATAAAATGTAACATTGTATCCAAGTCAGAAGCTACTTTAATAAAATTGAATTAAAATAAAATCCTTTTAATGTGTCATAAAATTGCTCCAAAAAACTAAAACAGTACAAATAATTTGCATTAAAATTATAATTAGTAAATTTAATACAATTTCTGTTAACGAAAATTGCTTTCACGTTAAGGACAATATTTAAAAAAACAATGGAAATAAATACAACAAATGCATTATTTTTACTATTTGTAAAGAAAATATGAATTCAATTTTGAAATTATAATAAAAATGTAATTTCCCTTAAGGAAAATACATATAATTTCAATTATCTAATGTCTCATAGAAATCAAGTCGAATTAAAATGAGACTTGATAGCCATGTGTAATAAAAACTAAAACGGCTTGCCATAGTTGTCAAATGTCATACAATCGTTAACATTTCACGTGTAAGAATTTTTAATACTTTGCGATAATATTTTGCCATTATAGTACCTAATAAAAAAATCAAAGGATAAATATTTTCTTTACTTAATCATATTTTAAAGTATCAATAATTGTTACGTTTAATTAAAATAATAACGGGTGAATAATGGTGTAAATTACGTCAAAAATGTTTACTGGAATGGTTACTTCATTTTCGTATAGATGTCGCTTTATACATTTATAATATTTAATTTAAATTATTTTTTAGAAAATATTAAGTATTTTTCGTGCCTAAATTAAATTCGTGACTAAAATGGCGTTTATCAAACTTGATACATATTTTATATTATTAATTGAGTTTTGAATATTCAAAGTTTAAATTTGAATTTCAAACAATGTATTTTCTTATTATTTTAAATTATGTTTGAAATTCCAAAACGAATTATTAACATCCTTAAATATGTTTTTACCATTTTAAAATGTGATTTTACATTTTTAAATATTTTTAACATAATAAAAGTCAGAAATATCATCCTTCCAAAACCTCCCTGTGCATATAAAACAAATCACAATTTTCTTAAATTTAAAACCCCACAAACATAAACTTAAAACAGCGCCATCTAACAGATTTTATTAGTATTTTTGAAAGTTTCAGGAAATTTGAAAATTTTGAAATTTTTAGAAATAGGACAAAAAATGCTTACATTTTGTCCTCGGCATGGGTAAACTTCATGTCCAGACTGTGCTTGGTGATGAAAGTTTGACGCGGCAAAGGATCCTCAATGTTGGAAGGATGCGGAATCGGTTTACCGACCGCCACCAAACAGCTCTGCAAAATATTTTTCTCGTCGCTGTCCTCTTTCTTGACACTGCTCCTGACAATGTGCCCGTTCAGGTGGATCACCTAAAAAAACATCACAAAAAATAAAATGTAAAATAAATACACAGAGTTTATGTTACATACCTTGTACGAGGCGGATTTTAGATTGACGGATCTGCCTTTGCTGGTTAAAGTGCACTTCAATCTTAGAAAGAAGGATTTCGGAGCGTCTGCCTCGTCCTGCACTTTTGATGAAAGAATTTCCTTTATTTCGTCATGGTCGCATGGGTGGCTGTACTCGAATACATTTTGTCCCATCAAATCAATCTAAAAAAAATTAAATATCGTTAAAACATTATATAACCTATAGTCAAAATATATATAATGGCAAATCGATTTTTCCAATTCGATAAACATCCAACTTTGCAGATTTTTTTTCAAACGTCAAATAAATAAAATATTCAATTTTCCGTAAAAAACCTTTTTTTTAAATAATCTATGAGGCACGTTTTATTTTTTATTCATGAAATATTTTTATTTGTGAACCAGAGTGATATTTTCAATTGGATAAAAAATATCACATAAGAATTTTTATTTTGCGTATTAATAATATCATAGCAGATATTTTAAAACTAGATTTAGTTTTTATGCCAAACTGATATTTTTAATTTAGTGAATTTAAAATATCTGTTTCTTATATTTGTATTTTTTGTTAAACACATATTTTTTATTTGCTTAACTAAAAATAAGATTTAATTTTTATGCCAAACTGATATTTCCTATTTAGTTGATTTCTGCTTCTTATATTTCAATTTTTTTGCTAAACACATATTTTTAATTGAGAGTTTGGATACCCCTGTTATTTCAAACGTCGTAGATCCCAGTGATTGTACCGCCATCTAGCGACAGAATTAGTTTAGAATACCAAAACTTTCAATCTGAATTAAAAATATCACATTCAATTAAAATTATCTGCTTATAAAATAAAATAAAAATTAAATCAAATTAAAAATATCTCATATGATTTTTTGATTACATTTTAAATTTATTAAATTAAAAATATCAGTTTGGCATAAAAATTAAATATAATTTTTAATTACGTGAATTAAAAGTATGTGTTTAGCAAAAAAAATACAAATATAAGAAACAAATATTTTAAATTCACTCAATTAAAAATATCAGTTTGGCATACAAATTAAATCTAATTTTTAAATATCTGCTATGATATTTTCAATTCGCAGATTAAACATGTTCATGTGATATTTTTTATTTTTACATACATATATATTTTAAAAATTAGATCCAATTTTTATGCCAAACTAATATTTTTAATAAATTTAAATTAAAATATTTCCTTCTTTTAAATCTTTTTTTTTTGTTGTTAAACAACTATTTTTAATTCGCTTAATGAAAAATTTAATTTAATTTTATGCCAAACAAATATTTTTAATATAGTGAATTTAAAATATATGCTTCTTATATATTTCTTTTTAGTTAAACACATTAAATTTAATTTTGAATTAAAAATATCATAGAAAAAATTTTAATTCGATTAAATTTTATTTTAAAAAAATGCATGTATATTTTTGCGACTTCGGATACAATGTATCATGTGTAAAAACTTTCAATCTGAATTAAAAAAATTTCCTATGATATTTTTAAATTAGCATATATGTGTTTAACTAAAAAAACAAACATAAGAAAGATATTTTAAATTCACAAAATAAAAAATATCAGTTTGGCATAAAAATTAAATTTTATTTTTAAATACATATCTACTATATTTTTAATTCGAAGAATACAAATTCTTATATGATATTTTTTATCTAATTAAAAATATCATAATAGTTTCTAAATAAAAAATAAAACGGCGCCTCACAATAATCTAAACCACAGATAAAAAATAAGTAGGTGTAATTGTTACTATAAATTTTTTTATTTGGGGGTGACATTTTGTTTGCTGGTAACTTTTTGTTGATTCGTAAGTATTTTCTTTGGGGTTTATTGAATATTTAATAGCATTAAATTATTTAAAAAATGGTTGTTCCCCAAAAACCTCTAAATCAATAATTTTGTAGTAAAATTGTATACAGGATGGCCTTAAAAGTAAGGTGAAATTTGGAAAGAAATCAATTTTTTATGTACTCTGTTTAAATTCTGTCAAATATTTTACCAAATCATTTCTTTACGTATATCACGAACACACATTCGCTTAATTTTTCACTCTATAAAAAATAATGTTATTTTAAATAGTAATATTAATCCAATTACATAGAACCAAAATATTAATAAATGAACTATATAAAAGTAATCTTTTAGGTGCCAGTAAACATTTGTATATAGTTTATTTATTAATATAATTCCTCCAAATAAATTAATATTTCTATTTAAAATACCAATATTTTTTATAATTTTTTACTTTAAATTGTGAAAACTCTGTATAAGCTAGTGTAACAAAACTAAGCAAAGAAATAAAAGGATGTTTTTGCAAAATCTTTGCTAGATTTTATACAATGTTTAAACAATTATTTTTTTTTCAAATTTGACCTAACTTTTTGACCATACTGTATAAAATTGTATTTCAAAATTTTAGTTTTAGGGGTTTTTAGGTACGCCAAATTCAAATACGCTATGCGTTTTTAAACTTAAAAAATGCCTATTAACTTTTGGAGTTCTTCTTTTAATCATAGAAAGCCATAAAAATGACATTAAAATATTAAAATTAGACATTTAAATATTTTTTAGTTTTTGAGTATATCTTAAAAAAAAAAATTAGGGATTCATATATTTACTTGGTAAGTATTCATAAAAATCTATTTTTAGAAAAAATACGATTTCTTTACTTTTTATTAATACCTAAATAGTGTATGATTAAAAATATCTATGGTGGACTTGTGTATGTACCTGTGAAATTCCCAAATACTCGCTGACGTTATCCGAAAGATATACGAAATCCCCTTCGGTAGAAATGACCACCAGAAATCCTTCCAAAGCCTTCAAAAAAGCGGTATCATCAATTTCGGACTTTTTGACATCCAAAGCCGAAATCTGTGGCACTAAAAAGGAAAAGTAAAACCAATATAAAAGGCAATAAAATTGACACTATTTAAAATCTGAATTTAGTAAATATTAAATTAACAAATTAATTTTTGATATTTTAAATGTTAAAATATTTTTAAAAATAAGAAATAACAAAAAACATTAAAATTATAAAAACAGACATTTAAAATTTGACTTCCTCTCTTACCTAAATTAACCATATCTCTAACCCTTAGATAAGCGATTGCAAGCCTCATGATTGAGGCTTTGTCTAGTTGGGACACCTGTTCCTGGGACAACGGAAGCGCCGTTGCCAGGTCGGTGAAAATCTCCGTTTCCCGGGAACGTCTTGATCGAGCGGCATCTCTCGATTTTTCTTTTCGTTTTTCATTATTCCTACAAAAAATAACAAAATTAGGTCTAGATTTTTTATATTTAAATTTCGTAATTTTTTATGCTTTATTTAATTAATTTTTTAATAAATTAAGGTTAAGTAATCTGAGAAAAGTGCGTTACTTTTATCTCTGACTATACAATGTATGTATAGTATACATACCATTACAAATCTTAGATGAAGTAATAAAATGTACAGTGCTAATTTTTCTTCAAACATAATTATAAATTTAAATGGTAATTATTATCAAATTAAAAACTACTATTAATTTTAAACGGCAATAATTTTATTACTTAGTAGTACATACTCCCAGCATTAATAATTATAATAAATACTGGAAAAAACGTTAACCAAGCCTTAAATGTGTAAAATTTAATTGAATAATTTTAAACGTATTTTAATATTAAAAGTTTACACAAGCAAATATATAAATTTTTATAAATATTGAAAAATAAAAAAATAATAGGAAGATAAGGTATCTCAAGTAACACTAATGCTCTTATTGCGATCTCCAAGACAGCCTTAGGACCATTATAAAGCAGCTTCTAGCCAAAAAGGGCCCTTCCTAAAAGGGTCGTCAGGACTAAATTTTAAAACCATATTAAAACCATTTAGTTTTAATTTTATACTCTTGAAGGCCACTTTAAATTTATGTATTATACTTGCAGCAACTTTTGGGTGAAATAGTTTATGGCAGAGTGGTAATATTTTAAATATAACGCTATATATAAAGCAGGTCATAAAAAATCTTCAAAAGAAAATTAGTTTTAAAACTGCCAATGTCGAGATTATTATAAAACCAGTATGAGATCAATAGGGCATTACTTAATTAAGAGCAAATAGTTTTTAATTTTAATTTAAAGATTACATTGAATTGTTTGCATAAGATTAAGTGGCCTCTAAGAACTTTTAGTTTATCTTAAGGTAACTTTAAAACCATTATCGTTTTATTAAACATAATAAAGCACCTTTAAACCCTAAATAAATCAAAAGTATCTTACAACATTTAATGTTATCTAATATTGATGTAAAACTTGCCAAACATAATTACTTTGTGTATACATTTGGTAATCAATTTGCATTTTTTGTTGATAATTTAGGTTTGTTTGTAAAAAAACAAAATAAAATAAAAAATGATAATGGTGTTTTTGAAAAACAAACAAAAAACTTACATTTCTGCTACAATTTGCCAACACACTCACAATGTAAAGTATGGAAAGTATCTAAACATTTCTAAATACATTTTAAAATCTAAATTTAGTGGCGAAGTCCTATAACCATATGACTTATCTCGTGCTTAACATTAAAATTAAATATTTCCTTGCAATAAGATTTTTTTATAAATTACCGCAACGAGTTTTTACGAACAGGATTTTAATGAACGTATATTATTTTTATGCCTTATTATTAGTTATAAGTTACATAAAGGCTCAAAATTAATAAATTGTATAAAACTAATTTATAAAGTTTGAGCATTGGTTTTTAACTTTTTTGTAATATTAATTCTGTTGTACATCCCTTAGTTCCTAACATTTTCCAAACTTTTCGTCATTGATTAAGAAAACAGAGTTTGAAGTAGCTTTTTCTACTCCCACCTTTAAAACGCCCTTTATCGTACATGTTTCCATGACACTAAGTGACCTTTTAAATACACATTGACAAGTTGTGGCTTTACAGCGTTTTAGTCATGGGCTGAAGTTAGCACCAGGTTTTTAGTTACGGGCTGAAGTTAGTTTTAGGTCAGTTGACAGTTGTCAAATGTCATACAATCGTTAAAATAAAGTGCCTTTCTTGTAAAATAATACTAAATGTGAAAATTATTTTATTATCTCAGTACAAAAATATTAAATAGTTTCTCAACGCCAATATTTGAAAAGTTTATATGAACTGACCTTTAAATTTCTCCGGCAGTAAACTATAACTTAATGTGTTTATAAAATATAAAAATTTGACATTTGACGGTGACACACAGATTCCCCTATTGTTTCATAGATGGCGCTTTATAAAAATATTTGATTTAAATCATTTTAAGATAATAATAAGTATTTGTCGTAGAAAAAGTATAGTATGCACCTCGTTTATAAACTTTTCTATACACTCATTAATTTAAGAACTCGCTCGCCATCTCGCTCGTGCCTAAATTAAATTCGTGTATAAAATGATAAACTTGATACATAATAAACTATTAAACGACATAATAAATTTAAAAACGTCAAGTTTTTCCTGTGTTTTTGATTATTTAACGCCATGGGTATATTGAGTGTTCCTGTTATCAGTGTACGTGAGATTTCTTAATGTTAAAAGAGTCGAGATTTGTTCAAACAAATGTAAAACAATTTTATTGATTGTTAATTTTATTTTAATATTAGTATTTTGTTGTTTTTTAATTATTTAATCAAATTAGATAATATATTATTATGCCCCTTTACAGGGTATTGAATAGTAAATGGTTTAAAAATAGTTAAAAAGTGATCTAAGAAGTGTGTTTGTTAATTTTGTGGAACCAAACGATTTTAAATTATTTCAATAAGAAATTTGCTGTATACGCCACTGGCTAATTATATTATTGTTTAGTTCTAACAACATTTTAATGTTAAGTCGTCCTAATTTAATGATAATAAATTAACGTCAGAACTTAATTTTATTTAGGTAATATAAAATCTTTTAAGAAAATTTTCCTAGGTGTTAAAATTTGTCTGATTTTTAATTTAAATTAAAAAATACTAAACCAAAAAAGCTTACATAAAATCTTCAATATCCCCAAACTGCACAAACTGACAGGTATTGTAGCAACCATTAGCATAAAAACTGTAACAACTGTCATAAGCATAGTTCGGGTCGGTTTGACATGGTAGGGCAAGTTTGGCCAGCAATCCGTTTGGTTTTAACCGATTATTTTGCATGTTAATATCCTCGATATCATAACCTGCATCTGCCGGCGTCGCTAAACTTTCTTGCTGATTCGCAAAATTTACTCCGGATTCCCCACAACTATCCACATGCTGATCGTTATTGTAATCACTGACACTGTTTGTATTATCAATGCATCCCTGAGTGTAGTAAAGTTCGTTGCACTGCATTTTTTGTATTCTCAGACAATTGCCATTTTTGTGGTTTACTGAGATTTGTCGGCAAATAAAAATATCACACAAATTAAATTAAAAAGTTCACGTTTAATAGAAAATCTGTTTTAAAACGTTATCTAATCTTAGCACTTCAATATATCTTTAAAATGTATGTAATACCAAAAAAAATTATACAAATATGTGAAACAGACTAATAATTAACATTAAGTCAATAGTTTTTAAACTAAAAATCACCAATATAGTTTTAAAAATTTATTAGAAGTTTCATCGTTATCCTATGAAGATTAAATTTTAATTAAAGATTAAAGTACAATAAATAAAATGTAATAATTTTAAATCTAGATTAATTATTAATTAAAAAGTTTAAAAATAACAAATTAAAACATAACCACATTCTACTTTATTCACCTGTATATAAAAATTTAAAAAACATCATTTGGCATTCCATTATTAATGTATTTTGTTTAAAATTTACTTATAACATGCATTTATTGTGGTTATTTAATAACAGTGTTTAAGACATAATTATCATACAATTCTTATCTGGTTTTTTAAATAACCATGAAAAAATAAACAACAAAAATTATTACTGTTGAATATAAAAGTAGAAGTAAACAATTATTGTTATATGTACGTACACTAGTTTAACTTAATTTTCTTTCGATACTTTGTTTTATTATAATTAATAATTAATCTGTCACTTATTTTAATTAATTATAATTAGATTTAATATTATTTAGTAAAAATTTCCGGTAATAAAAAGTAGGTAGTTATATAAATCATAAACATAATTATTATAATATATTATATTATATAGTATATTATACAGGTGTCAAACCCGTTTCACAGATTTTAACAAACAATACTATAGTAATTAATTTTTCAAATAGGTATACCTTATACCTATTTGAAAAATTAAAACAATCAGCATGAATAGCAGTCCTTTTTGTAAGTTTTTATAAATAAAAGACTATTTAAAAATAGACTCATGGTAGTTATTTTCTACATTTAATTTAAAAAGCTAAAAATTAATTGTTTTAATAATTAATTATTAATTAATTATTAATTCATTATTAATTAATAATTTTTTAGTTTATTATACTTCTGTTATAATTATTTATTATACTCCAGTTTTTTTACTAGTGTTTTTACGACAACAAAATGGAATAAATAATTAAGTATAAAAATTAGTTTGTGTATTTTCAAAAAAAACTGTTTAAAAGTTTTTTTATTAAATAGCAATTTTCAAGAGCTTTTCAATGAGCTTTCAAAACAACTTTACCAGTTTGGTCTAAATTATTTTAACAGCCCAGGAGTTTTTTGTTTAAAGATAAAACCAATTAAGACTGTAATAAACAATTATATTTGCCCCCAGAATGATTAAATTTTGATTTTAAATTTATAAAAACAATGATGGTTACCCAATTTTCGTTTCTCGATTGTTTACGAATTAAGTGAAATATAAAAAAATCTGGTATTATATGTCGTATACGACGGATAATAATAAAATAATATAATATACGTCTCTACAAAAATCTAGTTATTTTCAAAATTCATCAAAAAACGTTTTATTTTGACTCAAACAGTAAAATTGTAATTTTAAATGAAAAATGCGCTCAAATCTAAATAGGTCTAATTAGGCTTAATCTTGGGTTCGTTTATATCATAATTGACGTCAATGACTTGAAAATATGTTATAAGTTATAATTTTTTACAATAGAAACATTGTTTGAATTAACATTTAAATTTATTTGAACCGTTTAATTTATTGCTAGTAAATTAATAACTGCAGTCAACTTAGTTAATATATTAGGATATTTTTAAGAATATGCCGCTAAATCATATTAATTAATAGTTTTTGCACATTTTTTTCTTTAAATTCCGACTGGATTTAATGTTACTTTACTTTTAGAAAACAATCCTGTTTTTTCTGATTAAAACCTTATTTGTCTTAAACGGTTTATAATCCTATATTAATGGCATTGCCGTTAAACGATAAGGTTTTATACAGGTGCTAAATATAAAACAAAAATCAATAAAGTAGCGTAAACAATACAGGGTGTCCGAAAATATTTTGGGCAATAAATCATGTAGTGGTGTCAAATCTGTTTAATTTTTACGTGAAGAATCACCATATTTTAACGATATTTCCGGACACCATGTATAATCATATTTGCAATGTGGGTATTGTATTCAGCCATGAACCCAATACGCTTCTAGGAAACGACTTGACGAGCCGGACTTGTCTATTGGTTAGCTGATTTTTAGACCTAATAACTGTAATTACATAAAACACGCATATTTATCTATAAACTTTTGCAAATTTTACGCGGGGAGACAACCGGCTTACGGCTGATTCTGCACGTAGCTAACCAAAATCTCCTATCTTTATTAACGCGAAATCTCCGTTTCCAAGAAGCGACCCGTGCGTATCTCGTGGCAAGCTCGCCAATCAGAAAATTGCTACACTGTTGAGCGTCTCGTGATCGCGAAATCACAAGATAGCGATCGAGTCCCGACCTACCGAATTTAGTGCGATTTCGTTTACATAATTCGCGTTGAGCCGCTGCCAAGAAATATTTATGGAATAAGTACCGTTTGGTAATTTTAATAATCTTTTTGTTTGGTTTTATGTTTTTTTACTTAAACCATTTAATCGTCAAATGTCATACAATCGTTAAAGTAAAGTGCCTTAAGTAATGTAAATATTATTTTATTATTTTAATACAAAAGTAATAAATAGTTTCATAAATCCAATATTTGACGAAAAAAAATATGAACGTTTTTACTGACCTTTTGATTTCGACGTTAACAAGATAATGATGTGCTTAGTATGAAAACAGTATTCTTCAAGTCTCGTTAACAATATACTCAATACCAATATTATAAAAATCGGTGTACAAATGTGTGCTCTGAGAAAGGTAGGCTTTAAGATAAACAAAAATTTAAAAAAAAATTATGAATTTTCAAAAAATTTCGAAAAGAGGAGCATCTAGGATTTTGGTAAATATCATTTTTAAGTTACCAAAGGGTCCCGAACAAGAAACTACAATCAATAAAAATCGGTGTACAAATGTGTACTCTGACACAGTTAGACTTTGCAATAAACAAATAATTTAAAAAGAATTAAATTTTTTAAAAATTTCAAAAAAAGCACTTAAAATTTTGGTAAATATCGTTTCTAAATCTCCAAAGAGTGCCGATCAAAAAACTTTAACCAGTTTTTCGTTGTAAATTGTAAACTAAATTAAACAACATTTTAAATATTCTCTAAGCGTTATTTTATTAAAAATCTATTTTTTTTATAAAAGGTTAATAAGAATGCCATTTTGTAACCTGATAAACGTAGAAATATCTAAAAAAAAAATGAGGATAGATCTTTTTTGCGTGTTATGCCAAAACCCTGAATTTACGCTTTTGCTTTATTAAAAATGGCTTTGGCTCACCCTGTATAGGTATATCAAATGATGTGAACAGTATTCTCCTCAAGTCTCCTCCTCAATAATATACTCTAATTTTATAAAAATAGATGAACAAATGTGTACTCTGTCAAAGGTAGACTTTGAAATAAACAAAAATTAAAAAAAAAATCATGAATTTTCAAAAAAATTCGAAAAGAGGAGCAGCTAGGATTTTGGTAAATATAATTTTTAAGTCACCAAAGGGTCCCGAACAAGAAATTGCAATCAGTTTTTGGCGGCAATTTTATGTGACTTCGTTCAATGTCCAATGAATACAACTGTCAGTTTTTGTACCTTTAACATTTCCCGTGTAAGAATTTTTAATGCTTTGTGATAATATTTTGCAATTATACTAATAAAAAAATCAAATAATAATAATAATAATAATAAAATAATATTTTGAAGTTATTTTAACATTTTGAAGTATCAATAGTTGTTAAGTATGTAAAATTGTCCCCTGAATCCGAAAATAGCGTCAAAAATTATGAAAGTGGTTCAGTTTTTGAGATATAGTCAATTCCATATTAAATGTAAAATTGACTATATCTCAAAAACTGTTATACTTTTTTAACTTTTGACGGTATTTTCGGATTCAGGAGACCATTTTACATAAGAATTGGCTGTTAAATTTTGGGATACCATGGTATTTCATGGTTAACTATGGTACAAGTGAAAAAGCAGCCACTAATAACTATTAAATTAATCATTTTTGACTAATTCATTTTTAGAGAGTGCGTTAATTAAATATCTTCTAGCGTGACATTGAAAAATGAATGATTTTTTTTTCTAGTATGCACTTATGCCTGTAGAAGTGCCATATTCATTTCTGTCAACTTTAACCGCACAGTTTTGCAATAATAAGCGAAAATGTTGACCAATCTTCATAGTTTCGTTTTTCGAAAAAAACACAATTGTATTGTTATTCATTAAATATTATTTTTTTTAATACTTAGACAATCCATCTATCATTTATAGTTTTCTTATCTTTGTTTTCTGTTCTTCTTGAGACTTTTGCTGCATTCCTATACCTTTTTTGAAATATTTTTTTTAAATTGAATATATTGCCTTCAGTTTTAAAATAAAACATAATTATTAAATCAGTTGGAAAATTGGATGCTTTTTAAGTTTTAAAAATAGGCGCACCAAGGGAAAGCAAACTTTAAATTTAAAATTTATTCGTGTTGTATTATTAAGGGTGGTTTAAGAAAAAAAATTAACGCTTAAGTAGATATTGTACAAAAATAGAGGAAAAAAATAAATATAAATATGAATATTACGTAAATTCCAAAACATAAACAAGTTTTCCATTATCATCGGGTTACAGTCGGTAAATCAAGTTACATTAAAATAAAACACTGTCGACTACTTAAAAAATTCATATTATGATAATTTTCTATCGATACATTAAAAGTATTTTAAAGTGGGATTACATTTGATAAGTTTTACTCGGGGGAATATTATTATTATTAATGGTTTCAGACAGGTTATACCTGAAATAATGATAAAAATTTTAAGTAGCCTTAATGTCGTATTAATGTGTTTGAATAAAAATGTGTTATCGAT